AAAGTAAATAAAACTATTAATCATACCATACCTTTACAATCGAGCCAATATACTAAATAAACATAGTAGAGAGGACAGACATTCGTCTGATGATCACAGATAAAATAATACTGACAAATCGATATAAATAAAATTATAGTTTTCTCTGAATTATATATTTTTTTGGTTACTTTTACGTGTTATACATTAAACTAGCCGAAACAAGTCTTATCTAAATTTCTATCTGTCTGTCACGGCCCAGAAGGCATTTTACGCGGCCATCTCCGGAAAAACGAGAGTACATAAAATCAAGATTCAAATCATTTTAATGTATTCACGGGGTTAGCATGAGTGTCTTTAGCCAATAAAATATAGCCTCACTACTTTAAATCATTTTTATGTATTCACGGGGTTAGCATGAGTGTCATTAGCCAATAAAATATAGCCTCACTACTTTAAATCATTTTAATGTATTCACGGGGTTAGCATGAGTGTCTTAAGCCAATAAAATATAGCCTCACTACTTTAAATCATTTTAATGTATTCACGGGGTTAGCATGAGTGTCTTTAGCCAATAAAATATAGCCTCACTACTTTAAATCATTTTTATATATTCACGGGGTTGGCAGGAGTGTCTTTAGCCATTACAATATGGCCTCACTACTTTGAAAAAAAATATAGCTGTCACTGATATGTTTACATTATGTTGTTTACAAATACCGCAACAATTTCAATCACGTTTTGAAATAAAAGCCAAACAAAGTGACATAAAAAAAAAATTGTCCTTACATAACGGATTTAATTAATCGCAAGTGCAATAACGTGTAACCGCAAATGAAATTAAATAACTTGGCATCATCCAGGTCAGGAACCGGAGATTCTTTGTGTATCAAATTGTTCCTGATTTTTGATAACCGGGAAAAACCTTGAATCAGTGCTGTTTAGGGCTGGGAAACTTACATTTTTTTAAATCATCGTCGTCACTAGCTTACACAAATTAGGTTCCCACTCATTGACGGCGCTTACTGATTTTATATGTACTTTGCTATGGTTAAATTGTAGCAAATTCCTTAACTAATTAAATTCTGAATTTTCGTGTGTATGTCTGTTTGTGACGCATTAATGTCTTTATTACTCAGTGTTTCACGAAAAAGTCAAGAGCACTTTTGTTAATGGAAATGTCAAATTGGATAAAGTGTTCAATGGTGAGGACCACACTATCGCCGTGCGTAGAACGGGTACTTAGCTAGTTTTAAATAAACATGATTTACACGTAAAGCAAGGTATATGTTTTATAAGTTAACTAGAGTTCCAGATTAATAGTTTAGTTTACCTTAAACATGATTGTTTTATTTTCGTTAGACATATTTTTTATGAGATTCAGTAAGAAAACTAACCTCTTAACACTTGTATAAATATGCTCCAGACTCAAGAGCATAAAGTAAAGACCATGACATTTTTTTTGCAAGTCCTTAAAATCAGCATTAGAAAATACATTATACAGCTGAAAATCACATCTTAGAGTCTTCGGAGTGTTTATTTGCAGTTTTATGTATACAAAAATACTTATTTTTGACAGTCGATTTATTATCAGTGGAATTCATTAGTTTTGAATGAACGTAACCTTTTTTGGCCTAACACAAAACTGTATGATGCGTCTAATTTGTAGAGGAAATCCGATGTTAAATATAGGCCAATAAACTAAAAAATATGTGATTAACCGTTACAACATCAACTCTTAGGCCTATAATATGGTGCAGCTTTAAAAATGATAATACTGTAATGATACCATTTTTAAATGCAGAATTTTTATGTTGGTAATTTTTACTGTGTCAATAATGCGAGTTTATTTAGGCCTACAATGGTTTTCAATTACTTGAGATGAACGAAATACGAATGACTCGTTTTTGTGCAGTCACACAAAATGTGTGAAAATGTGCAAATAGCACCGATACTTTTTAAATAAACCTGAACTACTATTTATTTTTTATTAAGTCACGTTTGAAGATAGAAATCTACTTTTCATATTAGTTATGTATGGACAACATATACAATATTTACATGCTAATAATAAGAAAGTCTGTTCTTTATACACACATTCCAATCAAAAATAATTTTATGTGAAATGAAGAGGCTTGAAAACCAAACAGATATTTTTAAATAGTCGCCCGAAACTATATTACGATTGGCAACGTTAGACGTATTTGTAATCTTATTAATACTGTCATGATTATTTCATTCTTTTAATCCATAATTTCCGGAAAATTAAAAATAATACTAAGCTATGAAAACAGAAAAAGTATAGTTCAACTGATCTGAAAGATTGGCGACAAACATGGACAACGCAAAACAAAAGCCTGAGGGATGCATTTTCTTTATCCTAATTTCCTAAAGGCGGTTCCAGACATGCGCCAGTCACCAAGCACGAAATATTAACATTCAGTGATTTAGTTGTCTTGCTATTCACCGATTAAAAAGTAGACTTATACTACACACATGTGTTGTTTTCCGAGCAAGTGTTAGTTTTTCCGTCCGTAGGGAACAGAAAATATTCGTTTACTTTTATGTATGCAAAAATACCGACTATGTGCAACACTACGTCACAGTGGTGGATAGTTGTACGAAAATGTAACCGTAAAATCTGAAAACAGCCAGCTTTATTACCTAAAACATATGGGATATTGCAGTGAATCTATCCACTAGTGAACACATGAACCTTCAGCATGGCGTGTTTTTCTAGTGGGGCCTTGGTCGAAATCCCAAACAATGAACTTTGACAGGTAGAATGTACAGTCAGGTCCCAAAACAAGAGACTTAAGACAAATGTCCAGATTCGTCGTTGCACGACACGACGACCATGGACACATTCAAATGTGTCCAAGCTTAACGTTGCACGCAAACGACGAACCTGGACACATTTATAAGTTGTCCAGGGGTGGCGTTGCACGACACGACGAATCTGGACACGTTCAAATGTGTCCAAGGGTAACGTTGCACGCAAACGACAACCCTGGAAACTTAATCTGTCCAACTTTAACGTTGTCCGCGTGTGTCGTTGTCCAAGTTCGGCGCGGTCCCGCTCAAAAATATATGCTATCACCCATTAAACCTATCAACAGGCTGGGTGTTGATGAGTGGTTTTTAGCGAATTTCCCATATAGGGACTAAGCTATTACCGGAGTACTCATGGTAAGACCTGGACCCGGGACCGATTTACTTTTTCCTTTTGAGGTCCCTAGAGGCCAAAAACACCATCCGTTCAAATTCATATATATATATGTGTGTGTCCGTTAGCGCGATAACTCAAGCAAAAATGATCCAATTTTGATTAAATTTGGTAGAAACGTGTAAACCTAGGTTTATTCAAACGAGTTCGCGAACGAGCATAATCGGACCATGGGAACGGGGGTTTATGGGGGGTTTTATGGGGTAAAAATGGGGTTTTCTCATTTTTAACCCTAAAAACAAAAATTTTTGCAATTTATTTTTAAACCGTTTTGTAGAGCTTAAAAAAAGAAATAATTTAGTATATTGAAATGCTCTTGTATGCCTAACGGTCGCGAAGAAAATTCAAAAATAGTGTAATTTAAATTTCCCATGTTATTTTTATGGAGAAAATTAAAACTGTTGTAGTTTACTTGTTTATGGATGTATATTGATCAAATTTGGCAAATTTATTTATTTCATCCTATACTATTGACGTATGGTCTTAAAACACTTTTTACCTTCCCCGTAGCAGCAAACCTAAGCACTTGTTAAATCTAATGTTATTTAAATTGGGAATAAATATGTCTTATTTTTGGAAATATTTTACTAAAAATTTATGAGACAAGTTGAAATTCGCTTAGTCTGCAGGTTTGCTGCGACAGGGGTATTTTAGCTTTGTCTGGTGGTTGAAACTGGGCTCAGTCGTAGCTAAATAAACAGCTGATCTTCGTACTGGTTATCTCACTCCATTCAACTAAGGCCCCACTAGAAAAAAATGCCATGCTGCAGCGTGGGCAGCGCAATACAGGTTGTTCACAAAAGAACCGAAACATTTAAATGGCAAATACTGATACCAAATAAGAGACTATGTGTAATGTTGTATACATGTATTAAAAGATAAAATTCTCAAATTTTATTAGAAACTTACTATAGCTCGATATTAGCACCATTAGTGGCCCCGCATAAATCTAAGGGAAATTTGACCTCTTCCCAGGTTTTGGTCAGTACTTCAAAGGATTTTGCACCAAAACGTGCAACTATTCTCTGCCGGAGTTGATTCAGATCCAGAATCGGGACCAAATAGATGTAATTCTTTACTGCCTTCAAAGGAAAAAGTCCAGAGGAGTCATATCTGGACTCCTAGGAGGTGTCAATCCACAGATCGTCGAAACGAGTATCTAGCGCTTCTTGCCCACGCAAACTATAGTGTGGTGGCGCTCCATCCTGTTGAAAATAGCAAGGCCATTCTCCATCTTAATTTCATCCAACTGTAGGAAAACATGTCACAATAAATGTCACCATTTATATCCCCTGATTAAAACCTGGGAAGGGGTAAAATCTCGCTTAGATTTATGCCGGGCCACTAATGGTGCTCAAATTGAGTTGGTTATAATAAGTTTCTAATAAAACTTGAGAATTTTAGCTTTAAATACAAATATAAATTATTAAACATAGTCTCTAATTTGGTATCAGTATTTGCCTTTTAAATGTTTCAGTTTTTTTGTGGACACCCTGTACTACGTCACAGTGGTGGATAGTTGTACTAAAGTTTGCCAGAAGTAAACAGCCAGCTTATTTACTTATGGGATATGGCAGTGAATCTATCCACTAGTGTGACGTCATGGATCCTGCAGCATGGCCTGTTATTCTAGTGGGGCCTTGATTCTACACTCACCCTGCATATTCAGCTTAAATAAACTCACCCAAGTGTACATCTCTGTTTTATATGGTTTATTAATTATATAGATTAATAACATCACTTATAATGAACACAAAGAAACATATTTAATCTGATGTTCATTTTTTTATTGCAGTGACCTATGAGAACTTCAGTTACGTGATCTGTTTGTCCAACAAGAAAGTTTATGTGGTCAAGAAGAGGCACAGTTGGTCTCCCCCTCCTCCACCCGACAACATGGCCAACATTGGCAATCTCGTGGACTTGGATAATGGACCAGCCATCGCCTGAATACAGCACTTCCCTTCTGTTATACTTTGTATCTAATCACCTATATACTTTGTAATGAATTGTGATATATTTTTGTATATAATAAATTGTTGATCTTATATTGAGCTTTATTGTGTTATCTATCTATATCTATATATTAATAGGCAAGCATGTTTCTTTAAAACCTTTTTTCTCAGCTTGTGTGCATCAGAGGGAAAATCTACAAATACTGTTGGAAAGATATATTCCTGTAGATGTACAGAATCCCTTTATAAATTAAAATAGGTTAAAAATAAAGACAACAAATTAATTCAAAACTAAAAAAAAATTCACATGGGCCTCATGGGTTGCCATGCTGGTGACGAAATATAAAACAGAAAATCAAAACAAAAGGAAGAAATTACAATCACATGTTTTATTTACAGCATGGGTAGGAAATAGAGAATTATTAGGTCTCAAAACGTTTTTGAAATTATTTCTCTAGTTTTATTCTTCGATGCGCTACTTGGCTAAGGTTCTGAGACATGTATGAGTTGGTTGGAACTGGTTCAGTTGTTAAAATTTGTTTCCTGACGATCGATTGTAGCTTCTCTCCTTTGCAGATTTTGTATATATTTTCGCTTTGGAGGCCTTCCACGCTTCATTCTTAATCTTGAAAATTATCCTTGAAAACATTTAACACTTGTACTAATAAACCAAACTAAAATAACTATTCTCACAAATATTTAGCCCAAAATAACCAACACACTTATTTTTGTTTTCAAGTCAAATCAAATTATGAAAATAAATAACCTGTATCAGCTGTTTTTGTTAATGTAGCTACAAAAACGTATTGAAATTAACATGGGCACTTTCAAGGGTTGTAGGTCGAAAACAGGATTTTTCCCAGCCTTGGGACCAACTCCCATCGATTTCTTGAGGCGAAATAGGCTACCCCACAAAAATACAAAACAAAAATAAAACTTTGCCCGTACAGCGCTTATTTTAGAGTATATAGGATGATTGAATGTTGAGGACGAGGAGATATTGGCACATTAGCCAATATCAGTACTGTTACTGGCTATTAGACTGGTTATTAGCGAATTTCCCATATAAGGAATAAGCTGGGTCTCATGGTAAGACCTAGACCTGGGACCGATTTACTTTTTTGTTTTGAGGTCCCCATAGGCCAAAAACACCCTCCGTTCAAATTCATATATATATTATATATGTGTGTCCGTTAAAGCAATAACTCGGGCAAAAATGATCCGATTTTGATGAAATTTGGTACAAACAAGTAAACACGTTTATTCGAACGAGTTTATCCCATTTTTGACTCTAAAAACATAAAATTTCACAATTTCTTTCCAGACCATTTTGTAGAGCTAAAAAAGAAATAATTTTGTATGTTGAAGTGTTGTTGTATGCCTAACGGTTACGGAGATAATTTTAAAAACTTTAAATTAAAAACTCACATGTTATTCTTATGGAGAATAATAAACTATTGTAGTTTGCTTGTTTATGGATATATTTTGATCAAATTTGGCAATTTTGTTTATTTCATTCTAAGCTATCAACATTTCAATAAAAAACACCCCTCAATACCTTCCCTGTAGCAGCAAACCTAGGTACTCATTAAAATTAATGTTATTTAAACAGGAAATAAATCTAACAATTTTCAGGGAATATTTTAGTAGAAATCCAGCCAGGTAAATGGAAATTCGCTTAGTCTGCACTGCAGGTTTGCTGGGGGAGGTTATATTAAAATATTGATGGCTGCATTTTTGCAAACCAAGCCAGCTCTCTTAACTTGATAAAAGAAAGAATTATGATTGGTAGCATATTGAATTGCAATACCCTAATACGCCTTGACCCTAAACCACTTATGTATTTTTTAACAATTAGTACAAAATGTCAAAACAAAGTGAGTAAAATGAGAATGTCCAATATTATCCTCCACAATGAATCTGCAGCTCTGTTTGGCTTTGGCAACATTGTCCACTTGAGTGGACGACCTTGAATACCTCAACGGACACGACAAGCCACGCTACGCATAGCACGCCAGTCAACTGCGCAAAACTATCCATTATTTCATAAATTGTCCTATTAAAGTCGTAATTCCTTTCTAAAGGGAACTTTCCATACACCTAATGTTATATAAATTCAAATTTATTTTAAAAATTGAAATCTTACTACACATTGAAGTCTGCTTTAGAACAAAGAATAATATTAAATCAAATTTTGCAAGTTTGTTTAAACCTAATTATGATCATTGTTATATAATAGGTGGTTTCTTATAATATTAATAGAAAATGTTATGGCTGTTAAAGATATTAAATATAGCACTTGATTTTCCAAATTGAATTTCTTCCCAAATTTCTCAACTTGTTGAGGAATTGTTCCTCTTGATCCAATAAGTAGTCCATAACTTAAAATTTAGATATTTTATATTTTTCCGAATAATAGGGGATAGTTTTTTTATAAATATTTACTTTTTCTTCATGGACTTCCTGTGGCTGATTTTCATTTGTCTCATGACGAACTGTTGGGTCTATAATGAGACCGAAATCTTTCCCCTTGTCTATAACAATGATGTCACTCCGCCTCACAGAGCCCTCTTCTTCTATAGCTGTGACCTCTTCATATACCTCGTAACTTTTCTTTCTGAATTGATCAGCTATGATCTTTCTGATCGTATGGTGGCGGGTATTCCGTAGAAGACTATGGGCACTTTCCAAGGACAAAAGCAAGAGTTTTAAGAATAAATTTCTCAGATACAGGACAATGCCTGCACTGGTTCCCGTCCCTGGATCTCCCAAGACTTCTAAGAGGAATAACGTCTCCGACCATTTTCAAGTATTGTTTGAACTCAGCTGTACCATTTTTTTTTATTCTTTCAATTTATTACATTATTAAAATCAGGTTTGATTATTTGTTTGTATTACTGTATTATGGTTTGTTTATTTCCGCTTAACTTAACCAAACAATAGTTTTATTAATACTTATGATATGAAGTCAAATGGGGTGAAGCCCGTGGGTGGTAGTTTTATTAAACTATTGTTAGATGGTATAGGCTAATATATAATATGTTTTTTTTCGGTTCGGTGTGCTTTATTGTATAATTAGCTAAATAAATATTGTACCGTGGCGACTTACAATAACCTCTGTGTTGTAAGATTTTCCAAGTTGTTTCATAGGCTACAGCCTGGAGATAAGAACTGAGCTATCACTTAAGTTGTATGCAAACTCATAAAGCTAATGAGCTATAAATATCTGTTTACAAACTGTAAACTTCTCCCTCTGTTTCGCTTCGTCGCGGCGCTTTCGTTTTCATGCATTCCGGTTCTTTTCTTATAGTAGATGTAAAATACCTGGGTTTTTATGACTGCGGGTGAATTTACCGGGGTAAAGTAAAATACCCATATTTCATAAATACCCGGGAGTTTATGATTATTCAACTGCAGCTAGTTGTTACGGCTATTAGTGTTACTAGTGTAGACAATCAGGTCGGTGACGTCATTTGCTTATGCTTAGGCCTATGATCCATACCATACAGTTTCTATGTTCTAATACTTCGTGGTTTTGATTTTTTTCAACAAAGACAGCATATCCTCGTGAAAACGTGTTTCAGTGTTTGTGATAGTCAGCCTACCCTCTATATTTTTTCTACATTGTTTTTATATTGTTTTGATTTGTTTACAGTTCTCTAATCTCTACGAACCTATCTTATGTGGTTTTACAGCTTTGCCTTTGGCCGTGTTTTGCAATAATCTTGTTCAGCTTATAGGTGAACTTTTAGGTTATCTCTTGAGTCAGATTCCAAATCAAAGTCTCGAAACGTCATGAAAACTGATTGTTACTAATCACAATGTTAATGTACGCAATACCCAAGAGTCTCAAATAACATAAACCACAAAAATAATCACTCTACACCATTTCACACGGTATCCCATTATTTCTCCACCAGCCAGACAATGATCGGACAGTAGTGACACTTTTATTTTCCACGCTACCTTGCCCATCCACAAGTAGACCGGACAGTAGTGGCACTGTTTACGCTACACTGCCCATCTGCCCCTCCCCTCTCCTCTATCTATCTATCAGTCAGTGTTTCCATTCGCGGGATTATTATCCCGAAAACGGGATATTTGGACCTTGAGCGGGATTAAAACGGGATGCGGGATAAAACGGGATTTTCGGCTGTGACGACTATTTTTAATTTTTCCTATTTAATTTTAGAGAAAAACTAACTCAAATTGTTAAAATACTGTAGCAAAATATAATAGTGATGTTTAAACAACTTTTTAAACATGATACGTCAAGTATAATACTAGGTATTGTACAAAAAAATCATGCGGGATAAACCGGGATTTTTCACAATTTAAAAGCGGGATAAAACGGGATTTCTGGACCCAGTAAGCGGGATTATTTTTTTGGTCGTGTGGAAACACTGCTATCAGTGTGAGAGTGACGCTCGGCCGGTGTAGTCGTGTCAGTGTGTGTGTCTGTGTGGGTGTACAGTTAGCGCACGCGCACGCCCGTGCTGCCCTTCATTTAGCCGGGCCCTTCTGTCGCTGTTGTGTCACAATCTAATCTCGTACTGGACCTCGTAGATTGCAGGATTACACAGTAAAACGTAAGTTTTTCATTCTACGTAGAATTGTTTGATGGCGTCCTCCATTGTGATTCGTTGGCGGGTTCGTTTTGCGAATTGCTCAACTTCTGGACCTACCTCAACGTTTGAGGTGTGCTCTTGTCGTGGAATGTGAAGTTTGGAATTAGCCGTATCTTTAGGTCCAATTGTATGAAGTAAATATATTCGCACAACATCCTGTTAATTTTTTGGTAGGGAAAATTACTTACATATCGCCTAGTTTTAATAATAAAATAACAATATATCAACGAGAAAGTATCTTGCAAACATCAAGAATAAATACAATTTGTAACCCTAATGTTTGTAAAAGTTGTTTACGTTTAACAACAAACATCCTCGTTCCGATCCGACACGTTATTATCTTGACTCATCGATAATTGCATCCAATATCGGTTTAGCTATCACTAACTGTTTAAAAGTTAGTTTTTAACTCTATACTAGGGATTCTTTTAAACTTTGAAACACTCTTACTTAGATCTATTCTGTTTCATATGTTCAAATAAACTGTATCTATATAAATAAAATTAGAGTTTTGTCTGTACATTGCTTAGAATAATGAACTTTTTGGTTATTTTTACATTTCATAGGTCAGAGAAACCGAATCAAACCTTATCTCAATTTCTGTCTGTCTGTCTGTCTGTCTGTCTGTCTGTCTATCTGTCATTCTCTTGGTAACGCTAAAATACGCACTTTATTACAACTACTCCTCAATAACTATAGCACTGTCCCGCCTGAAACTTATTTTCCAAATACTATACATATATGAGATGGTTTTAGACGTATTTCATCGAATATGAGACAGTTAGATATTTAACAGTAAACCCTTGAAAATCAAGTTTTTGTCGATTTTTGACGTGGAATTTCTGGAAGCCCATGTTAACCTTATGAGAAATGAAATTATTGAATCTTAACAGCTGTTTCAATTAAACAAGTTGGTTCTGTTCTGTGATGTTCAATAGCATTAAAGTTACAAGGATTACCAACAGGGTGCAGCACTAGCACTATTATTTCTTTTACATTTATGACAACAGCTAATTTGCAACCTGGAGGCGAGTGAGCGTAGCGAACGAGCTAACCTGAAGGCAAGTGAGCGTAGCGAACGAGCTAACCTGAAGGAAAGTGAGCGCAGCGAACGAGCTCCAACATACAGGTGAGTGAGCGTAGCGAACGAACTTCAACCAGGACGTGATTGAGCCATGCAAACGAGATCAGATAGTAAAAATAAAAGTAAGCCTACCGTTATAGGATCGACCGGCAGACACAGAGGTAATTTAACCTTTTATTGATTGTCATACCGATCCGGAACAACAAAAAACAACATAAAATGAAGCTATGTATAATAGTTTGGCCAGCATATCTTAAAATATGCAAACCAACTGCTGTTCGTTATATAAGAAGGTTTCAACTGAATATTATAAGATCCCCGTGCGTAGAACGGGTACACAGCTAGTATTAAATACAAGAAAAAACACAAGACCGTAGGTACACAGGTACACAGCTAGTTATGAACTAACATAAAATATTACATATTACTAAATCCATTTGAAAACTCTATTGCAAATACCTTATACCCGTTTGGTTATTGGTACAGGTAAATATGTGGTAGTCCTTGTCGTATTCTTGTACTATAAAATATGTATTCTTGTTTTGTGTATACCCTGTGTGTATTTCCAATCTTAAGTCGTCTCTGTTCATGCTCAATGCAAGGGTAGATGCATCGGAAGCTGATAATTTACATGAACATGGATTGTTCAACAACCCACCCTCCCCCAAACGTCTACAATATTGCTATTGTGTCACGTGATTGACTCATTGCATAAATTAATTAGTTTGTCGACTGTGCAATATGTTATTACTGCGTCATAACTTGTAATGCGATGTGGGTTGACCGTTGAAATGGCAGGCAATATGTGTGTAGAATATTTTTATAAATCTTATCTTACCGGTAATGATTGCCGTTAATCAAGATGGTAGTAAGTTAATAATCGATTCAATGAATGTCAGTAGAGTAACTGTACTTGTAACAATGGCTGCGTAATTGTTTCTGTTCCGACGAGTCATATTAGGACGATTAATTTGGCGTATACCAAAACACATACTATGCGACACGGATTTAGTATTTTTTTCCGATTCTTGTTAAAAAGTAAAATTATCTCGTTGACAATGCACGTTACCAACAGTCAAACTGTTTCCAATTTTATTTCTCATGAAGTTGAAAAGGTTCTAAAAGGTTCTCCAAGGTTGACAAACTAATTCTCATGCAATAAAAGTAATATGGAATTTCTCAGCTGAAGGAAATGCCAAACTCATCAGAAAGTACAAAAAAAAAAAAATAACTAGAAACTTACGCCGAATATAAAATTGTATAACTTGTTGTAGAACATAAATTTTTAGTAAATTGTTATTCAGTTTATATAGTTTGAAGATCGCGTTGTCGTAATAGCATAAGCAATGTTACACAAATCTCTAATTTGCTGTCAATTGATGGTCTTCTGCCGATTGATGAAATAATTTTTTTTAAACATTCGTTTACAGATTTATTTGTTTAACCTTAATCTTACTGTGATTGTGATACGAATACATACACAGCGATTCTACTGTATTACAGTATAAGAAACCAAGAACTGTTTTGGAGCATGTTTTAGTAGTCCATCCTATTTATAAGCACAAACGGTTTTCTTATTTTCTATAACAGGTACATAAATTCATATATATATATATATATATATATATATATATATATGGTATTTAGATTTGTATTCTTTGGACACACTTGTTAGTTGGTAAAATATTGCAAACATGAGACATTTATACCTTTCGTCAACGTAGGTCGTAGGTACATAAATTACAGCAGTTACAGTCAGCAAATTTCAATAATAATTCTACACAATGATACCCCAAAAAATAAAAATACGAGATTCGACAAATCGTTATCAACAGACGCATCATGGAAAGGATTTGCAACATTCGAATGGAGATTGTTATAGGAGGGGAGGTGGGGGAGAGAAGCTATTTTCAAACAAATCTTCTCTGCGTAACGAGATTGGGCAGTTGATAGGCTTCGCGGTCTTGACAAAAAGACAAAGCCTACAGCATAATTTCAGCTATAGCAAAATACTTGTTCTCAATCTATACTCCACTTTCATACATAGTTCCACTTTCCATAAGTCCAATGATGTGGTTAATTAAAATTTCGTTTCTAGTTTCAACGTCATTGGCATTTTAAAGGTATTTTAACAGATCCTGAGTATTACTGTAATCATTCATAGCTTCAATCTGTTCAATCTGTGTGGTATGAATGATATTAGTGTAAAATATTGCATACTAAATGCTGGAAAACAATTCATTTTCATAACCGTGATCGCATCGCTAGCCATATAGATACGGAGCGATTAATTCTAATTGATGGAAAATGACTGAAGTAATTTCCAGGGCTATTACTCAATTTCCTCGAGACAATGCGTCAGTGTCCAAGTTATTGTGCAGTGCACACTATCAAGTAAGTGAATCATGTAGTTTCATATCCACAATCTTACTTTTTCTTGTACTGCATCATCACACAAAAATAATTTCGTCATCATGGAGTCGTTATTTTAAGTAGGTAGAATAAATTTTGCTGAGTGCTTTGAACTTGAGTCTTTAATTCATCACTACAAAAGTTCGGAGTTGAGAATCTTTTTGCTCAATCTACTTTTATATTTTCTTTCACTTTTGATCTTTGCCATACGTTAATTCACTTGTCCTCGAATCAAATAAAAATGGAATAGGCTACCTGTAAAGTTCATTGTTGGACAGGATGGAGGAAACATTTGGAAAATGTATGTAGTACCATAGATTAAACATACTCGGGAGTATGTTTAATCTATGGTAGTACGTACCTATTGGATTAAAAGTAAAGCCTTAATTCTTATTGATATGGAATAAATACAAAACAAACATGCCTGGGAAAGTTGTTTCTGGATTATTTACTCACTAATCGAAAGACAAAAATTTTCCAACGATCGTAAAAATTTGTGTGTCAGCTTAAATGATCAAAGTGCAAGCGTCCGAAGAAAAACAAGCTGGAAAACCACTGACAGACTTTATGAAATGTATTTATATGTTATACAATTTATAACATATATTTATAACATCTATAGGCCTATAATCTATAGATCAATTTCGTATTGTGCGTGGTCATTAATAATAAAATGTAAACAAATGAACTTTTGGATTGTTGCTGTGTCCAAGAGTAGCCTTGTGTTGAATATTAAATTACAGGGCTACAAATTAACGAAATTGATTCTCATAAGTTATAAAGCTTATTTATAGGTTATACTTGATTCAAAGTATAAGTGTAATATCATTGACTATATATAGTCAATCAATGGTAATTGCATGTCAAAGGAATCATTTAATCATTTACAACCAAATACTGTGGAGAATTTTGTGTATAAGCTTTCCTGAATCATAATAAAAACCAACAAAACAAACAAAAAAAGGTTTAGTGTTCTCTAAGACAACGGTTTTAACATTTCCCCGACAACACGGTCATGAAAGCGGGATTACACTGTATTTTTCATCTTCATCGTATCGAGATTTCCATTGCTTCAAACTTTCATAGCACAGATTGCCTAAGTTCTTATGCCAGATATTGCATTCTCTACCTACATCCATGTCACGTTATTCTCTTTTAAAATACCGTTTATACTCATCTCACTTTTGTTGCAGATGTGTACTATTCAGCCGATTATATTGAATACGAGTATCTTATATCTCCAGTGAACATTTCTCATACAGGAGTGTCTGGTTATTTATTCCAATCCCAATGTTCATACGGCAAAGACATTTATGTCATATTTGTTTGTACTGTTGAAAGGACCATAATGACGATATTAACCAACACATTAAATAAACATAAAATGTCAAATTAAACCATACAACGAATAGAGAAGAAAGACATTAAAATGTATACCTGGCCCATACACCGTAATACAACAAAC